AAATGTGTTGCATGATGTATGTAAGTCACTGAAATAATGGCAGGACTACAAACTTTATTTGTTTTCCCTTGTATATTGAATTGAGTTTAAAATTTTGTTTTGGTCCTCCTGCTATATGGTCATTCTTAACTATGTTGTGCTGTCTGGCCTGTTTTTATGTATGTTATATTCTCCTCTAATCTTGTTCCTCTGGTAAGCACTTTGGTCAGCCTAGTGGCTGTTGTAAATGTGCTATATAAATAAAATGACATTGAACTTGAACTTACAAACGAGGTGTTTCAGGTAAGTGTTTTCTGTTGAACTCCCTTTGGCATCGACTTTTTAACTTTGCAGATCAATTGCATGCACAAACAGCTATACTATATACTAAAGGAATGGTCAAATAAAAAAAATGCATAAACGGTGCCCTTTAAAGTATATATTTTTTTCTGCCATTGCACAGCTTATATGGACATTTTGCCTGGTCCATTCTCTAGTGCAGCATCAGTTTTCCACTCCAGTTCCATCATAAGCATGCAGAGCTAATGAAGTGAGATGAGCGCACCTGACCACACTCTTGCTGCAGGACAGCTCATTGACCAGGAAGGCCAGTATGGAGGCTTTTTGAGATGGCGTGTGGGCCTGGAAGGCTTTGGTCTTTAAGCTCTCAGCCAGAGGCTCTAGTTCAGTCTGTCCACAGTGAGCTTCCATATAGAACTGCAGCACCTCGGACACATTGTCCCGGTTCAGGCCGAGGTTAGTCACATGGTCTCCCAGAGCCGTCTTAGCCTGAAGTGTTCAAAACATCCAAACAAAAGAACAGAGCGATCCAATGAGGAACTCAGTGTGACAAAGGCCACGAGTTAAAATGCTCAAAGAGATTTGAATAATCATGGTAATTGAAAGGCATGGTTAAATCGTTTAATTTCGGAGTTTCTTCAGGCGGGCAAATGGCTTTTTATTAAGACTGTGAACGCATGTGAGATTAGTGCAGAGCATCTGCTGAGGGGCTGAACTGAATTCTTGTTCTCCATTGGAGATACTGAGCTTAAAGAAGAGCAACAGGAACTGCCCACGAGGGAATACTCTAGGATCAGACAGACTCTGCGCTGATTTTATGACATTCAAATGAGAAAATAAATAAATAAATTGACATAATATGAGATAGAATCATGTTTATTGACAACTTGGTGATTAATGATTGAAAAAGGTGACTAATAATAATAACAATACTAACAGCTGATCAGTTAGTAATGATCAGTTTCTGTAAATCTACGCATGTGATTGCTCTGGTCTCACCCTGTGTCCTGCAGGGAGTCCTGGGTCACAAACAGCAGCAGACAGCATGCGCACCAGCAGGTCCTGGATGAAGCCCATGCTGTCGCCCACATTCAGCAGCCCTGCCTGCAGCACGCCAAGTGACGGGACGTCAGCACTGAGGTCAAACCCCAGTACCTTTCCAAAACAGCGCAGGAACTGCATGACCATTAGACAGTCTGAGAAACATCCTCCCGGCAACAGCAGACCCGCTATCCTTGACAGCGCCGGCAGAGGCTGCACATGGAGAGAGAGACACAGAAGAGCAGTTTACTGGACGGTTGTGTGCCTAGTATATGTATGTGGTTGCTATTGTGTTCTGGATGGTTTCTAGTACATCTAGGTGGTTCTTATGTTACTAGGCAGTTGCTAGGGGGATTTTTGGAATATCTGATTGTCATATACACTACCGGTCAAAAGCAAAGTGGAATAATTAAGATTTTTAAAATGTTTTTAAAATAAGTCTCTTCTGCTCACCAAGGCTGCATTGATTGGATTGAAAAATACAGTAAAAACTGTAATATTGTGAAATATTATTACGATTTAAAATAACTGTTTTCTATGTGAATATATTGTAAAATGTAATTTATTTATGAGACGCAAAGCTGAATTTTCAGCATCATTACTCGTGATATCCTTCAGAAATCATTCTAATATGCTGATTGAAGTTGATCTGATTTGAATTGATTAATTATTATTGATGCTAAATTATTTATAATGGTCCTTATTATTATCAATGTTGAAAACGTTTTTGCTGCTTAAAATAGAAATCTTTTGTAACATTATAAATGTCTTTACTGCCACTTTTGATTAATTTAAAGGGGTCATATGATGCTTTTTTAAAGATATTTATTTGGTGTATTTGGTGTAACAGAATATGTTGACATGCTTTATTAAAGATTCCTAAATGCATCTACTTTCGGAAGGCCAAATAAAGTGCTTTTGCTTTCGCCTAGAAACACACAGCGTCTCCCTGACATGCTGCTTCAACACTAACTGCGGTTACTGAAAGCACGCCTTCTTTCTTTGCGTGCACATTTGGGCGCATTATGCTAATATTTCCACATAGTGAGGTAGATATGTGGGGGCGTGTTAGAACGAGCCATTTTAGGGGGGCGTGGCAGAGTCTTAACTTTGATAAAGAATATCTCTTTGGTTTTGAGACTTTAGTCTTTGCAACTTCAGGGATCTTATCTATGCACAATCAGCTTGTAACACTCCAAAGAGAAAGGAAAACTTGAAATTGCATCATATGACCCCTTTAATACATGCTTGCTGAGCGAAAGTACTAATTTCTGCTTAAAAACAAAACTTGAATAGTAGGGTATCACAATTTCCACAAAAATATGAAGCACAACTGTTTTCAACATTGATAATAATCATAAATGTTTCTTGAGCAGCAAATCAGCATATTAGAATGATTTCTGAAGATCATGTGACATTTTAACATATATTCACACAGAAAACAGTTATTTTAAATTGTAATTATGTTTCACAATTTTACAATTTTTACTTTATTTTTGAGCAAATAAATTCAGCAAACATAAAATTATAATAATAATTATTCAAAACTTTTGGCAGGTAGTGTACAGGAAAACCATTAGTCCGATTGACTTCGTTTGGTGCCACTAATTGCGCAGAAATTCTGCACTTAATCTTTATATTTGGTTGTGTATAAAAAAGGATTCAGTGGCTGCTGTGATTCACCTTGTGGTCAGACAGACACATGTCTTCATTGGGTTTGTTCAGCTCTTTGGCCATCTCCAGCTCCAGCCGTCTGGGCTCCAGTTTGCGCTCCTTGTTCAGTCGTTTCTCATCTCGTTTCTCCTGTTTCAGTCGCTCTTTCTCCTGCAGAAACATTTAAGAAGATTTGACAAACCTTGTGTGCCAATAAGACTGATCTACTCATTCACAGTCTATATGATTGAGCGGAAGAAAGATCAGAGGGAAGAGAGACACTAAAGGAGAGATGAGGCGAGAGAGAATAAGAGGAGATGAAAGGAGGAAAAGAGAATGATGAAACGATAAAAGGAGCTGTATAACATACCTCAGCTTTCTTCCTACAGAGAGATGAGGAGACTGAGAATAAGAGATGAAAGGAGGAAAAGAGAATGATGAAATGATAAAAGGAGCTGTATAACACACCTCAGCTTTCTTCCTGGCCTCTATCGCCTTCATCAACATCACATGCTGCCGACGTCTCTCCCGCTCCTACAACAACAAACACACAGACATCAGAGAAACAATAAAATAAAACAAATAAACTAATGTAAGTAAAAAAAACTAAGTGAGCAAAAACAAATAAAGAAGAAGAAGAATAAAGGAAACAAAATAATTAAATTTGAACAATGTCTAAAGAACACAAAAAATAAAACAGAAATAAAAGAGACTAAGGGTTGTTTTAAGTATATATATATATATATATATATATATATATATATATATACACATACATACATACAGTATATAAAACATTAAATACAATTTAGCATAAATATTGGATGAAAACTTAAAAATTGGAAATGTTGCTTAGGCAACTAACTGAAATAAATAAGTTTAAGTACTAAAATTACTAAAACTAAAATAAAAATGAAAGCCAAATAGAAATATTAACAAACTAATAAAATAACTTTTTAAAATAACTAAAATTAAAATGAAAACTGAAAATATAAAAATAAAAATCTAATTCAAAATAGTAATAAATATACATAAATAGTAGTAAAATAACACTGATTTAGCATGCGTTTTAGTAACATTATGATTTTCTTTTTAATTGTAATATAATTTTCATGACTGTTAAAACATATTTTCACCAACACAAATTCTTATTACGGTCCAGACAAAATTATAAAAGTTGATGACTTTCATAGCCCTACAAATCTGCTCCAGTTTCTTAATGCAAAATATTTTTTTCCTTTAATTTTAAGGAAGGAAGGAAGGAAGGAAGGAAGGAAGAAAGAAAGAAAGAAAGAAAGAAAGAAAGAAAGAAAGAGAGAGAAAGAAAGAAAGAAAGAAAGAGAGAAATTATCAAAAAAACAATTAAAGAAAAACTGAGTGAACAAAACAAGAAAAAGAAAAACAAAAGCATTAAAAAATTAAAGAATCAATGAAACAAGGCAAAAAATAATGAAAGCATGAAAAAAAGAAAAAAAGAAAAAGAACAAACAAAACAATTAAAAAAATTAAAGAACAAATGAAAGAAAAATAAAGAAATTAAACAGAAAGGACAGAACAAATAGGAAAAACAAAGAAAGACCAATAAAATAAGGAAAGAGCAAAAGATCTAAAGAACACAACAAATGTGTTAACAAAACATCAAACAAAACAAACACAAAACATCAAGAGAAACTTAAAACAATGAAACAGAACAAAGAATGAAAGAAAGTAAATGAGAAACAAACAAAAGACAGACAGAATAAAATAAAGAACACAATTGTGACAGGCGTGTTGTTTACTGAATAATGAAATCATGGCAGAAGCGTGAAGATTTAGTGAAGCTTCAGCAGGCTGAGAGCTGAGAGTCTGCAGAACTACAACAGATCTGTTAACCAGCGGAGTCGCCACTTCCTAAACATCTTTATGAAGCGCGAGTTATTCCAGGTGTTACGTTTCTACAGGCAGCTTGAGGTCTTTAGTGCAGGACAGACGGAGAGAGACATGAACGAGTCCACAGAAATCTCCAAATGCCCTCAGTACAGTGTATCAATATTTAAACAAGATACAACAGACTTTAAAACATTTACAAATGAAACACTGATCCAAATGGAAAACAACACGTACGCTTCAGGGGCTGGATGTTCCTAAATATCACAAACACTAGAGGCCACGCAAATGAAAAACAAGCTAGAATCAGAATGAATGTTATCAAGATATTGAGTTGAAGGCTTGATGATATGAAGCTGCGTGAACACACACAATCCAGTTTCCACCAAGAAAGATGGAAATATTGTAACTGATGTCTGTTAACAGATATAGAGATTACGGCTCTGTTCCAAAACAGTGAGCTGCCTTTTAAGGGAGCACGCTAACTGAAATGAAACCCTCTACATCACAATCAAGTCCTTCATATGACAAGTCCTGATGGCGCCCTAATTTGCTATGTGTTAATTAAAACCATTAAACTAAAATAATAAATAGTAAAATATTAAATGAACACTGAAATATTAAATAACATTAAAAAATTATAAAAATTACAAATGCACATAAAATTACTAAAAATATTAAAATATAAAATTAAAATATAAAGAATATTAAAAAAATTCAAGATATCAGCCAATTATAAATATCAATAAATACTAAAATAGTATACAAATACTAAAACAACAATGCTGCATTAATTACATTTATAATTTACCTATAATATACTACAATTTCTCTCTTTTTGTCTGCCATCTTTGATGGATTTTGCAATGCATTCTTCTAGCAATGCATTATGGGATTGCCTACTCTGTAAACAATAAATGCGATGTTGTCTTTGAATTTGGCCAGAAGATATCTTACAAGAAATATGCTTTTCAGGACCGTGTTTATGATGCCTAAAAATACTTCCTACATAGGCAGCTCACTGAGTTTTAGAAAAGAGCTCATTTGTCTCTCCTTCAGCAGGCAGATGAAAGCAGATGCGGGGCGTCATGCAGGAGGAATGCAAGCGCAGTCAAAGCAGTCAGTTGCACGTGCAACACGGAGCAAAACACCCGAATCACAAGCATTTCACAATGTGTTAGATGATGAAAAGTAAACATACCCATACCATATCTAGTCTATGTCTCTCCAACTCCTGCGAGAGTTGGCAAAGGCAAGAACAAAAATAAGTAAATAAATCAATGCATACAACCTTACTGAGCAACTCCCCAGTAGACTGATTACCCACAATACATTTAGAGCAATAGCTGAGCCAAAAAAAGAGAAAATTCTTACAATAATAATGACAGAATTCATTTTTGGCTAAACTATTCCTTTAAAGTAATCACATAAAAGAATAAAAGCAGCAGAGATTTAAAGCATTATTCAGTGAAATACTGTTTGTGAAGGAGATCTGAAGACGTCTGCTTATACCTGGTGCTTCAGGATGATGGCCTGCTGTCTGCGCAGCTCCTTCTCCTTCAGACGGAGATATAAATAAATTAAAACATGCAAATATTCCCTTATTTACATTACTGAGATAGGAGAGAGAAAGAGATGCAGATGGAGGGATGTTCTCCATTTATTTCCGCGGTATATTGAAATGCCTGGGTTTTGATTGACAGGTGTATAATCGAGGGGCACATGAGTGAGAAACGGAGTATCGCCACAGACTCAATCTCTCACAGAAACACATCCAAATGGTTATAAAAATGTGCACTAGTCCAGTTTCTGAATTTTTTTATTAAGGCATTTTTTTTGCATCCTATAATGTTTCTAACCATATAAAACACACAATGTGTCATCCAAGGTTTCACCTAAATCATTCTGTTTTCTGTCAAATCAAATCACTCACATGGTGTATTTTTGTCCCATGTAACCTAATGTCTAACTTTACTCTTATTGAGTTCATTGTTTTTAGTAAATATATGTAATACGTAGTAAGGCGAGACGGTGAATCAGATATTGAGATAAACTGCTCGCAGTAAATAATTCAGTAAATCAATAAATGCATCAATTGCTAAAAAAAAACCCAACAAACCTTTATTCGTTTTTCAGCTTCTAGTATTTTAGCATTTGCAACCTCTTCTCTCTTTTTTCTTTTAGCCTGTGAGAAAACAAAAAAACATATTTGACAGAAGTTATATAAATTAATATATTAATATAACATAAAATATTTGACGTAAGTTATTTAACTTGACCAGTAAATGTTTAAATGCGTAGTACAGTATGAATTAAAGATGCAATAAGCAAACTTATATCTCAATATTTAACAGCCTTCTAATGATATTTGATAGACAATCCATATTTATATATTGTTCAATTGAAATCAGAGGAAACATCATTCAAACCAAACAGTCATTGTAGAGAAGAAGATTTAAAATGCAATACAAAAAAAATAATCAGGGAATATTTTAATGTCACCAACCAGCCTAAATTCATATTCATTACTAGATAACAGATTAAAAAAAAACTCTCTGAAGTAGACTGTTAAACCTCTTCTAGGAAGGAATGGCTGATTAATATTATAAGCATGTGCTTCAGTCATCTTTATTCCAGTCAATTAAAACGGGAAAACACAAGCAGCGCTACAAAAGTGCCTTAAACTCTGAAAGAATAAATTAAATTCACATTTAAATTATTGCAATTAGTCGTTGTGTTGAAAGCAGTTAGGGTTGATTAAGTGACTGTGCCAATTCGAAATATGATCATAATGCTACCTGTTTGTCCTTACATGCTAAATATTAATATGGATGCTTAAAGAGGAATATATGTTTCATTTCAGTGTGACTGTCTTTGACTGGAGACAGAACTGTGTCATTTCTGTTGTGACATGGGTGTCTTTATATTTTATACACATTACCAGTCAAAAGTTCAGAGCCAGACACACCTCATTTTTATTAATACTGTTTCTCCTAGTTCAAATTAATAGTGAATTCATCAGAACCGATGACAATGCTGGCACTTTCCGATCCATTAAAATTAAAATTAAATTAAATTCATTTTGCATGTAAATCATTTATATTCGTATTGCATTTATACTATTTTCATGTATTTAATTGTACTGTATATAAGCTTTGTAAAAATGTATATATATTCCTAAGTATTTATAAGATTTCCCACAATTCAAAATAATAGTGAAGTTATTAAACTGATGACAAAGCTGGCAGCTTTTTCACCAATTTCTGCTCAATTTCATTTTTTTTATTAAACTATTAGTTTCATGTATATAATTATATTTGTATTATATTTATACTATTTTCAAGTATATATTTGTACTGTATATAAGCTTCATAAAAATGTGTATAAAAATACCTTCAAAACTTCATATTTACATATTTCCAAATTTCTATTTACTATTATTTTAAATTTATACTATACTAATTTATATTATGAGTACATTAAAGTTTTAAAGTTTACTCCATATAACCTTATTAAAAAGATATTTTTAAATATTTATATCTGCTTATAAGTACCTGTAAAATTTCCCTCACAAAGCTGGCAGCTTTTCCATCAATTTCCGATCAATTTCGTTTTTTTTTTTTTTGCCGCTTTATAGGCTTTGAACAGTTAAATACACACACTTATATGTGTCAAAATGCCCGTCTTTGCAAGTATCCTCGTAAACACGGTAATTTAGCAAACAGCTGAGAAAGAAAACACACGTGTAACACTGGATCCGGGCAGCTCTTAAAGTGACAGCAGTGTCTGTCATTCATGTTCATCAAACAACAAAAGAGAGAAAACCTCTCACTGCTCTTGACTAAATCACTTTTGCAGCTTTAATAAGAAGAAATATATATTTAATTTACACAGTGTTTTTATACATTGAATTACTTTATACAATAAATTAGCATTCCTTATTTATCTGTTCTACTGTAGTTTTTTGTCCTATTGCTAGTAATTAGTCTCTTATTCTTTTTGAATCACTGACTGTTTACTTGTCTTCAGTGAGATTTTTGTTTTATTATTATTTAGGCTAATATTAGTTTCTTTGTGATATTGACACTGGTGACAAAAATTATAAAATTTATATGGTATCAACATTTTTGATATCATAATGACCTTATTTAAGGCAAAAATAATATATATCGTTACCGTGAAATAAAATTACTCATATCGTGATATAAGATTTTGGTCATATCGCCCACCCCTACTATATATAATCTTTATAAAAATCTATATATAGGTACCTCCAAAATTTCTCACATTTCAAAATAATAATACATTTATATTTACTATTATTAATTTAAATTTATACTACACTGATTTATGCTATTTTCAAGTATTTCATTTTACTGCATATAAACTTAAACTTAAAAATATATTTTTAAATATTTATAAAAAAGTACCCGTAAAATTTCCCAAACAAAGCTGGCAGCTTTTCCTTCATTTTCTGCTCGATTTCAAATAATTTTTTAATTAAAATATTAGTTTTGCATGCAGAAAATATATATTTGTATTTATTTGTTTATGTAAGTATTTATTTGTACTCTATATAAGCCTTTTTTAAATATATTTTTTTAAATATTTATATATATTTATAAGCACCTCCAAAAATTCGCACACTTCACAATAATAGTAAAGTTATTAAAACTGATGACAAAGCTGGCAGCTTTTCTATCAATTTCCTCTTCATTTAAATTATTATTTATTTTTTTATTAAACTATTATTTGTAGTAGATAATTTACATTTGTATTATGTTACACTGTATATAAGCTTTTTACCTCCAAAATCTGCCGAGCACGGAGTTCCTTCTCCAAACGGACCTGCTGGATTCTCTTGAACTTCTCCTGTTTAAGAAGCGGGAATGAGAGAGAATGAGCTGCGGTCTGGATCTTATGCATCATCCCCTGAAGGTAAAGGCTGATCTGAAGTGTCAAAAGCAACAATGCATGCACAAACACAAACAACAAGTGGACAGGAAACATCATGAGAAAACGTGGATGTTTCTGACCTGCTGTTTCAGAATCTTCATTTGTTCCTTGTGTTTCCGCCGCTCTTCTGCTGCCATGATTGCTGAAAATCCATAGGAAAAGGTGAGTGGGTTTATCAAGTGTAGTAGAAACTAGAAACTAAATAAAGCTCCAGCTCACCTTGCTGTCTCCTGGCCTCTTTGGCCGCTTGTGCCAGCGCCTGCTTCTCCAGCTTACGCCTCAGCTTCATCTGAGCCGCCTGCCGCGCGATTTCTGCCAGAGACACAAGAGCTTTAGAGCTCAGTTAATATACAGCAATGCTATACAAGTCCAGCTATAGACAGGGTTTCTGCACGTCTTAAGAAGGTACATTTAAGACTTTTTAAGACCTTTTCAAGGCCAATTAAAGAAAATGTAAAGAATAAACTGAAGGGAACACAATATGCAAATGTCTATGGAGAAACACAATGATTTGAATTAGCAGCACTTTTTTTAAATAGCTTAACTAGAAAATGGAAATAACTTTTACTGTACCTTCTGATCACACTGCACAAAAGTGATGTTCTTCCTCAGTATTTTTGTCTTGTTTTCCAGTGCAAATGTCAAAAATGTCTTAAATCAAGATGCAAAAATTACATATGATAAGAAGTCTTGTTTTCTGAGAAATGTTTCAAAATGAAGTTAATTTATAATAAAAAGAAAGGACAAATATCTGGGCTCAGAAAAATCAACTTGATTCAAAGGGTAAACAAGTTCATTCCCAATTCACCGATATTTGGTCTTGTTTCAAGCATAAACTCTCTTAATTTTATTCTATTAGTCAAAAAGCAAGACTTCATAATTTCATTTTGAATTTCAAGTAAATTTAAGGATGTTTAGATATTTGTATTGGAAAACAAAATAAAAATACTTACAAAGATATTCAATTATATTTTTCAATTATTTTCAATTATTCAGTTATTTTTATTATACTTTTTGCAGTGCACGCAACATTTAACACCATGACTTTACGAATTTAAGACTTTCTGCTCCGGATTTAAGACCTCTTAATTTGTGAAAGAGCAAATTAAGACTTTTTAAGACCTACAGAAAAATTGTATAGCGAACAAATGAATTAGGGATGTAACGATGCACCCCGAGCCGGTTGAAAATCGATTAAAATATGTGACAATTTAAGTCGGTTGAGATGTTAAACGAACTGCAATTTAATTGGGGGTGGGAGTTTATATGAATGTATCTCTGAGGGGAACTGACTGTCTTCAGAAAAGTCCATATGGTCTTTTCTTTTCATCTTACCTCTGAACAATGCATATTAAAGTAGTGTTCATAAGCGCAGCGCTGCTTTGTTTACAGCGGTAACCCAGGAAACACTGTATCTGCTGTTCCATAAGCGCCACCTGCTGTCAGAGAGTGAATCTGCGTCTCATTCAGCTCGTCTGCTGTTTTGGTTTCGTTCAGATATGTTTTATGTAGTATCATTTTACAAACCTAAAGTCAGACCATTCTGTTTTTGCTTTAAATATCGAAATTATACAATCTAAATTAAATCAAAAACTGCTCATGCTGCATGTACGCAGAATCTTTGTTTGAATCATGATTAAAATGCAGTGGTTGCCTCTAACTGAATGGAAAGAGCACAGGCTAAGCCTTAGTTTGTTTATATGAAGAGATTTATTTGATTTGGGATTTGTTTTAAAGTTCCAGTTTAGCTTTGTTATGTGACCTTTCAGTTTCACAAAGAAATGTGAAAATATTGTTAGAAAAATAGTGCGAAAATTGTATTGTGAAATCGGTATGAATTGAGTGAATAATTACATCCCTACTTCTTATGTGTAGATTCTTCAAAAAAAAAAAAAAAAAAAGACAATTTTAATTTTGGGTGAATTAAATCTTTTAAAACATTCTAAAATCTTAATTTCAATTTGCAAGGTTTAAGTTTCACATGTTTGCTAAATTAAAAGAGAAAATGTGTGCATTTGATTCTTGGTTTGTGTCAGCGGTACCCTGGGCCTCCAGTCTGCGCAGTAGTTTGGCCTCAGAGGTGCTGAGAGCATCGGCTTCACCCTCGTCAGGCGCTCTGGCTTTCCGGCGAGAGCGAGCGGAGTCAGTGGCACGATTACCCAGAGCGTCAAGATTCTTGAGACGACCCCGTCGACCTTCCATTGCCAGAATACGAGGAACCACTTCCTCCTCCTTCAGTAAGCACCACTGTAACCCCTAAAGAAGACAACAGTGTTTAGAGAATAAATGATTATTTTTCACAAAAAGTAAAATAACAATAAAATTATTAGTAGTAGTAATAATAATAGTAAAATAAATGGAGTAAAATTATAACAATATCTAAAATTATTATTATTATTATTATTATTGATTAAATGGTTTATTTTGTATATAAAATATATATTTTGTACATAATGAAATAATAATAATAATAATTATTATTATTTCATCAATATTAATAACTAGTAGTAGTAATATTAATAATAGTTGATAATAATAATAATTATAATATCTAAAAGTATTACTTATTATTATTATTGTTGTTGTTGTTACTTAAATGGGTTATTTTATTATATAATTTAATATTTAATCAAAACACACTAACACCGCACAACATCATTGTTTAGTAAATAAATAATATAAATTTTAGTAAAACAAAAATTATATTTTTATTATTATATTATTATTATTATTAGTAGTAGTAGTACCAGTAGTTGTAACAGCATAATAATAATAATAATAATTATTATTATTAAATAATCACTTTAATATTTTAAAACAGACTTTAACACCACAGATATACACTACAATGTTACAATATCACATTCGTTCAACCTACACAGAGGCTAGTAAACCTAAAGAAATTACCTGCGGTCCATCTCTGGCTTCATAGAAGTCACCAACCTTGATTTTAGCACTGAAGCTAAAATGATCACGTGTAATGTTGCTTATCCCATTACTGGTCAGATACTGTGAGGGGTGAGAGAACATCAGATCAACAGAATGGCAGCAGCATCGGTCATTAAATAGCAACTCATGTTTTAAGTGATCATCTTGCCTTGATGACATCAGGATACTGTCTGAGCTTTCTGCCGCATGGAGCGTAATACACCACCTCTCCCCGCAAACGCCCAGACATGTTTGTGATGCGCGTTTCTCTCTGCCATCTGAGAACAGAAAGAGTTTTCATTTCATGCTCAAGACTCATAAGGTGAAGTCATGCAGAAATGAGACGACTAAGTCAGCTATTTGCAAGCTGACTGGCTTAAAAAACTTGTCTGTCCAGCCATTCATTATTTTTTCTATTACATTTAGACACTTCAGCTTTAAAGGGTTAGTTCACCGCAAAATGAAAATTATGCTGTGTTCAGCCCCCGGAGCCGTGTGAGACACTTTTTTTTGTGGAAGGGTGCTTTTTATTTCACGTCTTTTGAACCGAAGGAATGCAACACCCGCTGAGTGCAACGATAGAGCTTGAAAGATCAAAGACAATTTTTAATATAACTCCGACTGGATTCGTCTGAAAGAAGAAAGTCATATACACCTAGGATGCTTCGGGGGTGAGTAAAACACAGCATAATTTTCATTTTGCGGTGAACTAACCCTTTAAACGCTGATGTTCATCGCTGTTTTCAACTCAGTTCAATAAATTAGGGTGTTTTGATAAATAATAGTGCAAAGTTCATCTGAATATGAAGCAAACTTAATTGAACTAAAAAGCAGCTCTATTTAAAAAAAAAAAACAATAGTGTTATTCAGCTCAAGTCAGTTTTGTGTTGATTCAATTCAGTTCAATAACAGTGTCGATGTTGCAAAATTCATCAGTTATGAAACTAATTTGTTTCAACTATAAAGCAGCTTTACAAAAGACAACTATCATTCTCCAGCTCAATTTAGTTCAAGCTTGCTCTCATCCATTGTCAGTGGAGTCAAATTGATAATATTACTTAAAAAGTGCATTTTAATTGAATATCTTTTAGTGTCTTTTAGCAGAAATGTAGCAATTCAAATATTAATTAATGATTAATAATTAATTAATTAATTATTTAATGTTTAATATTTAATTATATTATCACATAATAATATAATTAATGATAATATTAAATGCAATATTAATATTATAAATATTATTAATAATTAATAATAGTATTTAATAATATAAAATATTTGTTTTTTTACTACCTGTACAGCACCAGTTTTCACTTTCAATGTTTTTAAAATGTGCTTCATAAATAAAGTAAACTAATGTTGTCAATCCATTTCAGAATCGCATTGTTTTTGTGCTAGATAAATACTGATATGCTAAAGGAACTTAAAAAATGAGTCCAAATAAATCTGATTATATTTATAAATGTATTGCCCCTTAAATGGCTTCTTTGTGTGTTTTTTATGAGTAACTTTTAGCATATCTGTCAGCAAGTTAAAGTAGCACTACTCCTCACTATTTCCCATTTATTCAATCATGCTGTATGTACATTATATGGATTCTTGTAGGGATGCTCGATTATGACAAAAATCATAATCATGATTATTTTGGTCAATATTGTAATCACGATTATTTAAAATGATTATTAGTGGGCCATATGACCAAAACTTTATATGAAAGATTTATTTAAAGACAGTGATATACTGTATATCAAATATATATTTTCTGTAAATAAGGTTGTTATGACATCTACATTTTGGAGACCAGCGAAATACCAGAGTAACTAATATTAGTTAAAAAAACAACAACAAAAAAGGTCCTCAAAATTATTGAAAATAATCAAAATGTATTAAATACAATGCCAGTAATAAAAAAGCAAAAGAATACAAAAGAATGAAAAATATACAAATGAAACAAACTGTGCTTTAAGTTTTTTTAATGCAAGTCTAAAGTATTCAGTTAACGGCCTACTAGAGAAATTGAATAACCTAATGTAAAATAAAACAGCATAGTCTTCACCGTAAGAATTAAACATCCTTTGTTTCTTATTAAAGCTACAAAAGTCCTTCTCTCAAGAGCAGTGTGTGATTTTGAATTTGTCTTTTGTTGTTTGTTTAATATTAAGCACACAGTCGCAGCAGGAAAATAGCCCACTGTCACTTTAAGAGCTGCACGGATCCAATTTACTGTTACACAAGTATTTTCATTCTCAACTCTTTACATATATTTATTACATAACCGACGAGGGTTTACGTGAATAATCACTAAGCACCACATTTTGACACATTTTTGTGTGTATTTGACCGTTTAGGCGCTAAAAGATGACTTTACATCCGTGTCCGTGTTGTGTTCCTTCTCTGGGCGCATCCACAGTAATCTTCCCGAGGAAGCGCAAGTTCTTTCACGCTTTTAAAAACATAAATCAATCTAATCAACTTAAATCAAAAAAAATAAATTTAAGTCTCGTTACATGATTTTACTGATTATGGAGGAACGAAAGAGCACCGCTAGAAAGGGGGCGGAAAGGGGTGCAATAATCGTTTTATCTCGATTACTGTATTTTCATTATCGTTGGAGGCCGAAATCGAAATCGAGACTGAATTTCGATTAATTGCACAGCCCTACAAATCCATTACTGATGCAATAACAAACCTCTGCACTTAAGGAGGCGATAAAGTGTCCTGAACGAACTTTACTCAAAGATTCACTTCAAACTGTAGAAGACAGTTTAGAATAACAGCACTATAGTGCATTGGCTCTTTACAGATGCATAGTTGGAAGAATATTTGGTGATACTGTTCAGTGATACTATCACTGGGGCAGTATCCTTTCAAAAGGTATTAATATGTACACACTTTAGGTGAAAATACGTACTTTGAAAGTACTAATGTGTACCATATAGGGGTAAATAAGGAACAAAAATGAACCTTTGAGCTCTTGTACCTTCGGGTGTCGCCCCAGTGACAGCTTTGTACTTTTTTAATGAGTATGTTCTGGCCCTAAAAGGATTATTAAAATGCATGCAAATGTTTGACATCACTAATAAAACGAAAATAACGGTCCATGTAACATGAAATGGCTGGAAAGTCAAGACTCACCCATATTGTAGAGGTTTCCGCAGTGCACATTCATCTGTGACTCTTCTCCTTTTCCCTAGGAAGATGGCAGATAAGCAAATATATAAATCACAAGAAACATATACTTGCTGTTTTAGTAGAAATATACTGGTCGACCGATATGGATGTTTTATGGCCGATATAAAGCCGATAAATATATGATATCACATTATTTAATTTAAAGATAGTAAAAAAAACATGCATAATTGCTGAAATTAAACGCATATTTATTTTACATAGTATTTACATAATGATATAATTTGAAAATGAATAAATATGAAAAAAAAAATGTTTTAACGACAAAAAAATCTGTAAAATAAAAAGACATTTATTTGGATGGAAACTTCTTGATTCTGTAATTCTATTATAGTATTTTTCACAAAAAAAGAAATGAATAAAAACATTAATAAAAAGGAAGTAAACACTGTAACCAACAGTGCACACAGTCATCTGGTAAGTTTGTGCACACTAGGAATCATTTTTTAAATATAGATTTTAATTTTACATTCAGCACACAATGAATATTTTTAATTTTTTCAACTTATTTACTTCAGTAAATATTATGTAAAATAAATATACATTTAAATTCAGCAATTGTTATGCATGCATTTTTGCTATTTTTAAAAAAGGCTGTCAAAATAAAAGTCCTGTGTCCAACTGCAGCCAAAAAAAATATTCTTTTTGGCTGATGGGATAATAAAAAAATGGCAAATATTGGCCAATATATCAGCCTTGGCGATATATTGATCGACCACTCACCCAACCCATTTAAAGCGCATAAGAAGATTAGGATGTTGATTTTAACTATGTCTTTGTTGTTGTTGTTTTTTATTTTTATTTTTTTTATTATCTTGAAAATAGGTTGCAGGTTATTAATATCCATAAGAACAATTGTTTACAATACCTGGTGGTGTGGCCACACTGTAAGACGACAAAGCTGAGCTGTCATTGGCTGAATTCCCATAGCTGGTCACAGTGGCTGGTGTGGTTGTGGCAGGTGTTTTAGGAACCTGCAGATTGAGAGGGGCGGGGCTAGTGCTGTGGGAGGAGTCTAGCACAGATGTTGAGGATTTGGTGAGTTTGAGTGGCATTCTGTCGATTTCTAAATCTGTGTCCATCTCTTCATCTTTACCATCATCATCATCATCATCAGAATCAGTGTCTAAATTGCTGTCAGAGTCTGCATGAGAGAAAACAACATGAGAGAGTGTTCACTCATGTATGAATGGGAAAATTACGCTTATATTATGTTGCATATGACTTTTTACTCAGTTATAATCACAAAGTGCATGCAAGTGTTTTGACACTCTGATGTGTTGTGAAATGTGCATACAAAATTTTTATTATAATTAAGATGTTTGTAAGTCAATCTGACCTACAAAATACATGATTAAAAGGCAGCTGTACAAAACCAAAATCAATTTTGATGTATTAAGTCAGTTTCCAACTACTCTCTAAGGGTGTTTACATTTACATTTATGCATTTGGAAGAAATTTACACATTGTTGATGGCATACATTTGTGGCATACAGTTTCGAACCCATGATCCAGGATTATTATTGTTAGCAAAACTTAAAATCACAAAAAAACAAACAAAAATAAATAAAAAAAGAAAATGAAATAAAATAAACATCAGCCGAAGAAAAATAAAATAAAACAATATTTAAAAAAAAAAAAAAAAAAAAAAAAAAAAAATGTCTTAACAAATGATCACTGAGAAGTGGTATGTAACCAGAAAATGTTAAGGATAAATGAAATAAGTATATTTTTATGATGTTTGCCATTTTTGCATAATATATTATTTTAAAATAATTATTTGCATGAATATGTAATTTGTAGCAACGATAAACAAAACAAAAATATAAGCAAAAAATAATATAAAATACTGAAATAAAAAAACAAACAAACACAAATAAAATAAAATAAAATGAAAAAATATAAAAAAGCTAAATAAAAAGAGAAAAAATAAGATAAAACTAAGTAATATAAAATAAAATAATAAAGTAAAATATAAAATAAAATAAATAAAAAAATAAAATAAAGAATACAATAAAAA